TGCCTTGCTGGGCTCTGAGCTTTTGGAGGATTAAAAGTGATTGGTGTGGCTGTCACGGGGGCAGAGCTCTACCAGAAGTCAGGTCTTGGCACTACCAGCTTCCTCCTGGCTGGACTGCCACTGACCAGATTTTTCAAATTCCCAGTCACTTCCAAAAACCCCATCAAATGCCTCCAGATTCATGTGGCAGAGGGACCTTGTTCTCTGAGCTTCCACAGCCTCTGTTCCTACTTGACTCCTAGCACTGAGGGCCTATCCTGAGCCAGAACTCTTCCTTCACTGGACTTAATTATTAGTAGTATTTATAAAATATCCATAACATATATCTTGTTTATACTCTAAGGGCTTCATCGGGGCAAATACTGGGATTGCTTCACTTCTGTTATCTCCACCATCTGTCCCACGGCCTGGCATGTAGCAGGAGCTTAATCAATCAGTCAATCAACCAGTCACTCCCTGTCTTCAAAGGGATAAACTGTCTGGACAAGAGACTCAACAGTGTGAGGATGGCATTCACAGCAAATAAAACAAAACAAAAATTTTGCTAATTAATAGTGATGAAGAATAAAATTCTGTGCAGGTGATAGTACAGGAAAACAGGAACTTTCATACACTGCCAATAAGGGCACAAATGGTATAACCCTTTCCACAGCCAATGTTGCAATACCTACTTGCAGACTCACAAGCATCAGTCATGCAAGGAGAGGACCAAGACAGTAAGGCACTCTGGGGAAATCTCTGGCCTGGGAAAGAAGACCCAGGTTCCTTCCAAGCTACCCAGACCAACTATGGAATTGTGGGCAAGTCCATTTATGTCTCGGAACTTCAGCTTCTTTGTCTACACAGTGATAGAATCAAGGTAAGTGATCCCTGGGACTCTGTTTGGCTGGGATGTCTATGTCAAACACAGAGCAGTAGGAAAGGCCATCAGAGCTCTTCAGAATCTTAGATATTAGTTTAGGGCTGACTCAAGTGAATATAAAGGCCCCCAAGTTTCTACTGTTTCTAAGAATCTTCACTTTGGAAGATCTACTCCTCAGATACTCTTCTGGAGAAACAGGAATTGGGGCTTTGGACCTCCTTCTCTTGGCTTACCACCTTGCCCCATGCATGGTTCAAAGGATAAACAAATCTTGTCTCATCCACCAAGGAAGCACCAAATATCACCTGGCTTCACTAGATGACCAGAGGCGAGGTGAGGCCCCGCCACTGCAAAGGCCTGAGAACAGTACCTTTAATTCTTGCATTTCTTTCTGCCTATAGGGTTGCTAGAAAGGGTACAAAACCCTGCTAACACTATGTTGGGAGACCTGTCTAGTATCCAAATAGTAGAGAATCACATCTAATCTAACTGAAGTCAACCAAGTCACAAGTTCCTTAAAAGTCCCTCCCAAAGTAAAATCAATAAATGCATAATAACTAAAGATGTATTCAGCATATCCATGAGGCTTTTCATGGCAAGTGCACTTTATAGCATTGTCATTGGTCAGGTGTTACAACAGGTTACAAGTCATTATGACCACAGAGGATGCAACAGGTACAAAAACTGTGCAATCTTCCATTCTACAAATAGTAGGTTCTCACAACAATCTATACTAAGGCAGCCTCATTTGGTAATAAGATCAGGTTTGGCACCCTTTCCTTGACCACAGTTGCCTTAGCTTACTAGTTATATAAGTATCCCTCTGAACAAGTGCTCACCCCAGAGGCTCACCCTGGACATTGAGGTATAGCAGACCCCTTTCCTGAGTCCTTAATCTGAATGTCCATGACTGTATTCAGCAGAATATAGTCCCATGGGATGTTAATAGGTAATGTGTTACATAAGCAGGCACACACACAAACTGGTTCCCTGTTTAGAAAGATTGATAAATGTGTGTCTTCAATGCAGAACTTGAAAGCTTTTATTCTGTCGATAAATCTGTGAATCTTCTGGAGGAGACTATGGTGTGCTAAATTCCCTGAACTTCTTTATTTTTTTGAAAAGCATCACATCCCAGGCATACTGTTCAACAGTCTATCCTTTTAGAATCTTCATGAAGCCCTTGACCTATGACCTCTGTTCTAGAAACCACATTGCACAATATGACCCCTCTCTCATTTAGTCTCCATCACAATAAGAGCATACCTAATGATTATAAAAGTGTTGGATACTTGATGCTAAACACCCAGTGCTTTTAAACCCATTCAGATATTTGTTGGAAATGAACCAAGGAAGTACCTACAGTGTAGTGACCAATATATAGTTACATGGCAGCAGGGCTTGAAGAACTCCTGCATGGAATCAGTAGCACTGAAACTCTTCAATTTTAAACAATAACAACCTTGCCGCTTCCAGCCCAGCCCCAGACTAGTGCTGCCCAGAGTAAGTTAGGGGCCATTCAATAAACATGTGTGGAGCTTTGAAGATCTCGGAACATGAAGGAGGTCCCAGCGTCCCTTATCCTTCCACCTTTTATTAGGGCCCCTTATCAGGTTGGGGTTCAGCTAATGCAGTTGCTTGGCTCTGCACACAATCTGCCCTCTCACCTTCATTCCTGATCTACCTCCCCCTAATGATCAAGGCCAGCATAACACAGAGCTGCTGAAGAATAAAACCCATCCTTCAATTCCCTCCAACTCCAAACATTTTCCGACTCATCTCAGGCTGGGAGAGATCGTGACTTCTGGAACTGAATTTAAAATTTAAGACAGAGGGCGCCTGGGTGGCTCAGTCCATTAAGCGCCTGCCTTCAATTCGGGTCATGGTCCCAGAGTCCTGGGATTGAGCCCCACGTAGTCCTGGGATCGAGCCCCATGTCGGGCTCCCTGCTCAGCAGGGAGCCTGCTTCTCCCTCTCCCTCCACTGCTCCCCCTACTGTGCTCTCTCCCTCTCTCTATCTCAAATAAATAAATAAAATCCTAAAAAAAGAATTTAAGACAGAAGAGTGCCTTTATGCATAGGCAGAGGGTTAAACAAAGTTCTGAAACTTCTGGGACCCTGGCAAACCTCCTCTATCCTAGTAACTTAATGTGAGCGCATGAGTTCAAATAACTTTTGGTACCTGAGTTTTCCCCACTTGTGCAATCAGAGAGGTACTGTTTTAATTTTTTTATAAGAATGTATCCATGAATTATTTGTGAACTCAAAAATGAACAAAATAAGAGGGGCGACATTAAGCTAAATTATGCTATAAAATGATGGTCTAACTCTTAATGAATATGAAATCAAAGAAAAGTACTTATTATCAAGCTGAGGTAATAATAGCATTCAAAGACTACAACAGGATGCCGCTAAGTAAAAGCTGTCTGAAGAAAAGGCACAGAATTTTCACCTTTTTTTTTTTTTCAAGGGGATTTGTCCTTATAGACTGAAATATGAGGGGATAAAAAAGAATACTGATGAGGGAAATGCAGTTTTCCTACAGCGCTAAGGTTTTTACACAAACAGTGTCTCTTTTTACAGGGTTACAGTCCCACCTACTTTACTTTCTAGCCCTTTGTTTCCCACATATAACCTGGACACAAATAAAGACTAGAGCTCTTTTAATTTCTAACACATGAAGGTCTTGCATCTAAACAGAAGTTACAATGTGAACAGATTTAAGGGCCATGTTCATACATGGCAATGTATTCCATTAAATGAAACATAAAGTAGTGAGGCAGGCCTGGAGGGTGAGGGTGGGAAGGACATCTATGTAATTTATTAAAATAAAGGAAACCTCAAGCCTCATCTTGTGATTTAAAGAGGAAGTCAATCATGACCAGTTTGCATTTAACTTATTATCTTGGCCATAGCATGGCTATATTTTAAATATACTATTGTTGATGGATGAAGAAACGGAGTAGCCATTTTCAAAGGAACTGTTAATCTCCAAAAAAATGATGTGCTGTTGTTATTGTTTCCATCAAAATCATGTTGTAACACAAATTATAACACCTTAAAAAAAAAAAAAAAACAGCCGAAACAACAGAAGGAAGTATGAGTTCACAGATCTGGAGAAGTGAACTGAGGTTTCTTCACCACCTATGGTTCTCTGGTACTATAACACTTAATAGAATCACTTATTATTCCATGTCCTCATTTCTTTTACACTAACTGAAAGCCAGCAGCTCTAATGGCTAAGGAAAATAGATAAATTTAAAATAAAAAGTATATTACCTGCTCTTGCATAATATGAATTTAAATGAAAACAGCTTGAACTAGGATTATTTCTTCCAGAATGAGTCACCCCTCCCCTTCCAATACCCCACCCTAAGACAGAAGAACACATATACATCACAACCACACATGTATTTTTTTTTTCTTAAAAAAGGTAACTTGGGCTCTGTCGAGGCTAATAAACAGAAATAGATTTTACTCCTGACCAACAGCTCAAACCGTCCATTAGTGTAAATTTTAAGATGCGAAGATGTTTTTGGAATTAGTGTACAGGCAGACACACTCTGTTTACTCGAAAACCTAAACCTTAACAATAGCTTCTACACAGATAAGTCTCTGTATCAGAAGCCCTGGAAATCTCCAGTGACAATTTATCTTCCATGGTCTTTTGTCTTTAAATGTAAATGGTAGATAACCGAGCTTAAATGGAAAAAAAAAAAAATCAAGAAATGAGCATCCTGAATTCTTTTGGATTCTAAAACCAAGGATAATATTGAAGGGAATGCAAATGAGTTTTAAATGTCCTTAAAATCTAGAAGTAAATGTAGCAACAGCTTATTCTTTGGCACTGAGTCAAGAAAGCCAAGGAAGCCGAGCTAGCAATGTAGCAGGAAAATAATCAGAGAAAGAATACATTCTTCTGCCATGCCACAGACTGGGCATAGACACAAATATGGCCTCAAAACAAAATTAAGGCTACAGGTGCACAACATTAAGAGGGGCACACTGGGGTCAGAGAGAATGTGGTTGCCTTCATTAATGTCCTATGCACTCATACATACAAATATATACATATATACATATATACACCTATATACATATATGCAAATAAAGACCCATGCACATAGCTTTCCCTTACCTCCAGCAGAGGCCTGGCACTATCATGGACAGACAGAATGTGTGTCACCTTGTTCTTGCTCAATTGCTCTGCATCTCTGGCATCTGTCATAGAAGAAAGAAGATGACCATTTTATTCTTCTCTGCAAGTGAATTATTTGTAAAGTTTAGCCAGGAAAAAATACAAAATGGCTTGCATATTTCTTTCTTGAAACTTCATAATTCACCATACCCAGAATAAATCTAGACCTAAGGAATTTAGGACTATTGCTTTAATGTATTTTGCAGATAACTAAATTTATTTCTGATTGCCAGATTTTTTTGATACAAAGTGGTCACCTAAAACTTGAAATGTATTTAGATTAATAAACACTGTAATCATGATTGTTGCTGTTTAAAGAAAGTGAACCTATGAGGTCATTTTGTAGTTGCCAGTTGTTATTAATGATTAATAATCTAAGTTAAAATCACATACAAAAGACCCACTTACTATGTACCCTGGTGTCAAAGGCAGGGATGGGTTTAAACACAGATTAGACTGGTTTATAAGATCTACAATTCACTTCAGGGCAAAAGTAAAAATGGAACATTTTCTGGAAATCCCAAACAGAATAAGTTATCAGTGAGCTAATTATCTGCATATGAAACTAAGGAGACACAAAAACTTACATTCCCTTCTAATGCTCCTACCTAATGCTGCATAAGAAAGACTGAATAAATATCAAGTTGAAACCCTTCTGCTAATATATAAAACAGGGGTCCAGCAAGAAAAGGCTCCCCACATGCCCATGTCCTGAGCTGGGACAAGCTTTTTTAAATGATACAGGGTAAAATGGACTGAGTCAAATATTTACTTAACATGTTTCTAGAGAATATTAATGACATGGGAAAATGCTTAGGATATAATGTTAAGCAGGGTGTAAAAGCAGGTATCAAACTATAAATACAATGTGAACTCAATTTATAAAAACATAATAAAGACAAACACACATACAGAGGGAAAACTACTATAGGGAATTAGCTCCAACAGTGACAATCTCGAAAAGATGGAATTACAAGTGTTTCAAAATTTTTTAAATAGTTTTTTTGTATAGTCAACACAAGAGGCTCTGAAAGTTTAACATGCCTATGAACTAAGTTGGGGCTTCAACTTAGTTCAAGGTCTATGGCAAGGCTGAGGAATCTGCAGGGTTTTTTTTAAGATTTGTTTGTTTGTTTGTTTGTTTATTGGGGGGGCAAAGGAAGAGAAGCAGACTCTCTGCTTAGCACAGAGCCTAATGATACTGGGCTAGATCTCATGACCCTAAGAGGAATCTGCAATTTTAAGAAGCCTTGATGATCATGCAGAGACTGAGAAATTTTCCTAAACGGTCTGCAATAAACATGGTACCACTTTAAAGTCAGAAAAAAAGTCTTTAAGTAACATTAAAATGTTGGTTTTAAGACCTTCTTCGTTGCTCCAACCATCTCAAGCTTCAAATTCAGATGTGCATAGCAGCCATCTACGTCACACATACAGGACTCAATTCCAAACACCCCCCTCTGCCCCACAACTATCACAAGTTTTGGCATCAGTAAGTTTGAATTGAATAGGAACTAGAATCATTTAGGATCCCACTGGCAGCCAGCTTCCACATTCTCACCAAAAGGCAATTTTCCCAATCACCACCAGGATGTATGTTTTAGCCCAAGTGGAGAAGCAAGATCAAGCTGGAGCTTTCAGCGCGCACAGAAGAGCATGGACGAGGCGGGGCAGCAAATGGTGGAAGGAGGAGGAGCAGCTGGTGGAGTGCTCCAAAGCAGCCTCCTGACACTCTAGGGCAGAATCTTCTGGATTCTGGTCCTGCCCAAGATTTGAATTTTAAAGATTTGTTTAAATAGGGACGCCTTGGTGGCTCAGCCGGTTAAGCGTCTGCCTTCGGCTTAGGTCATGATCCCAGAGTCCTGGGATTGAGCCCCAGGTCAGGCTCCCTGCTGGGCAGGGAGCCTGCTTCTCCCTCTGTCTGCCCCTCCCCCTGCTTGTGTGTGCACTCTCTCTCTAACAAATAAATAAATAAGATCTTTAAAAAAAAAAAGATTTGTTTAAATATACTTTTTCTCTTTTACAAACAGCTTTCTTGAGATAATTTGCATACCATAAATTCACCCTTTTAAAGTGTATGATTCAACGGTTTTTAGTGTATTCAGAGTTGTTTAGTCAACACTGCACTCTAACTTTGAAACATTTTCATCACCTCATAAATACACTTTTATAACACAGATGAAAAATAAACAAAAAAAAGTGGTTTGGTAATAAAAGTATACATTTTTGAATACAGAAGACCACTTAACATCACAAATGAGACAACGGACTATAGGGCTCCAAAGAAAACAGAAGCAACTCTCGGACAATGTTCCTTTTGCTCCGTGCTCCTTTCTATTTTATCATAGTGCTGCCTGTACTGAACGCCACTCTGGGATTACCCTGTCCCATAAGCACAGGCTCTAACTATTTGAGAGTACATAAAGTGCTTAATCGACATTTTTGGATGATAACATTGGACCTCTTATTCTTTAGGACTACCGGTTACTGATGGTTCTGGATGACTGCCTACAACCACGGGCACTGTGGTCATAAGCTGTGAATGCAGTTGTAAGACATGGGATTATCAGCTCATTCACATGCATGTGAACAAGGTGGAAGTTTCATACCAGCTCTCCTTGGGCACAAAATCAAAGGGGCAAAACTTAGCCCTTTGCTGCTCAAACCAGGGTCTGCCAAGCAGCAGCATGGCATTACTTGGGAGCCTAGTGGAAATGCAGACTCCCAGGCCCACTACATATCTACATGATCAGAACCCACATCTGAAAAAGAACCCCAGAAGATTGTGTGCACTGTACACATGGAGCTCTGCAGGGCCTTCAGGGAATGAGCTATGACTGGGTACCAATGGTGCGCCTTCCCCACCATGGCAGTTTGATGCCATTTCTAAGCCAGAAAACAACTCACAGCCACTTGCAATCACAAATGCAACACTATCAATGCAACGCTATTAATAAACCAACAGGAAGATTACAAATTAGAATTCACATGGAAAAAAATCTAGAAGAATATACACTGGCCATGGTTATCTTGGGATGTACAGTTTGGGGAAGTTTTCACTCTATTTAACATATTTTTATCACATTTGGATTTTTAAAATTTTTATTTTAACTGAAGAGCCTACATTACTTTTATAACCAGGAAAAGAAAAATTAAAAAAAAAAAACACTTCATAAAATTCAACTAAATTACATTAATAAGTAAAACAGTCAACCTTTCATTGGTAAAACAGCTAACTATGTTCTTTTTCCCTTTCTGCCAACATCTCCCCTGGCCCCTGGACTCCTGCCCAGTCTTGCTGCCTGCCTCTGCCTACTCTCCTAAGGCCTCAGGTGGCCTTCAGAAGAAGCAAATGTCATTTTTACACAAGTGGGAGCAATGAAATGGAAACACCTACCTGATCTTTCTTCTTTGCTGTTGCATGTTCCCTCAGTGGAAGACCCCATCCACCACTGGTAAGACCTTGCTAAGGGAGCAAGTGGATTCCTGGAAGATACTGTCTTCAAAAGGCAAAGTGGCAGCCACATGCTTCCTTAGGAAGAGGAATTAGTGCTCTAGATCTTATATTGATACAGAAGATGTACAGGGGTAACCAGTGCTAAGATGTGGGAAATGCTAGAGTGGCCATGGGAAATAAACTAGTCCAGCAAAGTCAAGCATAATTGCCTACAAATAAAATTAACAAAAGTATATTGGGGGCGGGGCGCCTGGGTGGCTCAGTCGTTAAGCGTCTGCCTTCGGCTCGGGTCATGATCCCAGGGTCCTGGGATCGAGCTCCGCGTCGGGCTCCCTGCTCCGCAGGAAGCCCGCTTCTCCCTCTCCCACTCCCCCTGCTTGTGTTCCCTCTCTCGCTGTGTCTCTCTCTGTCAAATAAATAAATAAATAAAAGTATATTGGGGGCGCCTGGGTGGCTCAGTTGGTTAAGCGACTGCCTTCGGCTCAGGTCATGATCCTGGAGTCCCGGGATCGAGTCCCACATCGGGCTCCCTGCTCAGCAGGGAGTCTGCTTCTCCCTCTGACCCTCTTCCCTCTCGTGCTCTCTATCTCTCATTCTCTCTCTCTCAAATAAATAAATAAAATCTTTAAAAAAAAAAAAGTATATTGGAAGAAGCACTAGAAAATAATGCCATCAATATAAGCACTCTAGAAAAACATATTTGGAAGGAAAGAACTTCTTTGGTAATGCCTTTCCAGTATCAGAGCACCTGTTACACTGATTTGTGGACTCAAAAGCATGGCCATGCAAGATGAGAGAGAGAGGAAAGAGAAGAAGGAAGGTCTCTAATTCAAAAGGACCTAATTCTCTCTGTTCTGACCTTGAACCCCAAGCCATGTTCTGAGTCACTTCCCAAACAACTTTTGCCTCCCAAGCTGAGAATCTGCTCAGTGGTGGGTAAGTGATTCTGATCTGTTTTGCTGTTATACTTAATCCCACTGTGAAATTGATTTAATGAATCCTAGAGTTATAAATTATTGTACATAACAATAACTTCTAGAGTTATAAATTAGCTGTTAGTGTGTTCAACCTTTAAGTGAGTACATTTCCAACCTGAGATGGGGGCCAAAATAGGCAGTCCCTACCTGTTCCCTTTTTTTTTTTTTTAGATTTTATTTATTTATTTGACAGAGAGAGACACAGCGAGAGAGGGAACACAAGCAGGGGGAGTAGGAGAGGGAGAAGCAGGCTTCCCGCGGAGCAAGGAGCCCAATGCGGGGCTCGATCCCAGGACCCTGGGATCATGACCTGGGCTGAAGGCAGATGCTTAACGACTGAGCCACCCGGGTACCCCTACCTGTTCCTTTTACCAAACATGGGCTCTGACATTTATTGGTGTCAACCTTGGACAAGTTTTTCTGTGCCTCACTTTTCTCACCTTTAATGTGGGAAAATGATAAAAGTACCACCTCAAAGGCTGCTGGAAATACTAAATGAAATAAAATGCTTACAAGAGTGCTCAACTCACATGTAGCAAATGTTATCACTGCCATCACCATTATTATAATCATTGCGACAAGACTGATT